CCGACCTGGTACTTTCAGTTCAGGCGTTCAGACCAAGGGGGGAGGGGGGCCGGGAGGGGGGCGATTCAGTCGTGGCGGCCCTCGCAGAATTGCCAACGAAACCACCTAAGTCGTGCTGCTCACGATCATTGGTGACACTGGTGCTTGGTACGTTTTTTGGTAGCCAAGGGCTGGTAATCGTGGTCGAACCAGAACAACAAACGAAGAGGCATTCCCTGGGTATGACCGTTAAGGTTCCGCTATTTAAAGAAAATTATAGTATAAATATGTCTTCCAAAACCTTTTGAACTGTCCTTTCGATCGTTCGAATTGTTATTGAAGTTTCGGATGGTGTATTCTCCTTAGAGTTATGTATGACTTTGAAATGAAAACGCAACATTTTCCGTCAAGAGAGGTTAGGCGAACCTGCTCATTATACTGTATCATTTATTTTCCAATATTATCGTTAAAAGATTATATGTAGAGAAGTCTTCTTCCTTTTTAAATTGTCTATGATATAGGGACTCTGGTGGGTATCCTAAACGTGATGCTTCCTAACCTAGAAATTGTGGGCACATTAAAACAGGAAACTTAACTTTTTATTCCAGGTCAAAATGAGTTCTACAGCTACAGTTAATACGACTCCCAGTGGGCAAGATGTGGCAGGTTCTACGGGAAATCAAATCCTGAAGGCAACAAAACAATTGTATGTGTTTACGTTAATCGCTTGTACATTGGTCATCTTATTAATTTGATTGTGAATCCATTTCATCTCCTTTAATTGTGTTTCAGGATATTAAATTGCTCCAAGGATCGGATTTATGGAATTACTTAGAAGCCGGTCAGATCTATGTGTCTCCAGAGATGAAGGAAGTTTTAAGGAGCACCAATTATGACAACTTTCACTGCCTACAAAATTTAGGAGAAGATGACAAGAAAATTATAACTGACTTTATGAGAGATAGCCTTCCGACAATTCTGAAAAGGAAACATACAGGAGATGACCAGGCATACCGAAACTCTATGAAGAAGTACTTCGGGGATCTCTTCTGCTACGCACCTCAGCATTATTCGATAATGGGAGGCCAATTAATAATGTTGAACAACATTACAACATTTTGTAATGGTGAAGCCAGAAAAGCGTTCCTTGGACGTCCTCGTGATGCCCTCTTCAAAGAGTCTAAGAAGCCTAAGAGAGTTCGAACAGCTGTGTGCGAGAAAAAGAAGCTTGAAGAAATAATCCAAAAATGGGTTGATGACAACATAATTGGAGAATGTGACAACCCAGATGATGAACTCATGGATAGTGGAGAAACTGCCAATGCCAAGATAGTTGTCAACGCTGATGTGTCACAGTGCCCACTTGGGAAGTATTATGCCGGTGTCTCATGTATATTTTCGTTCTGCAAAGAAAAAATAGAGTTAAAACAAATTGGTACATGATGGAATCCATACAATTTAAAACGGCATGTTGATAGGTTGCATAAACCAAAGCTACCAAAAAATAATCAAAATCAGTTGTGTGCTATGTTTAACAGACAAGCAGCCAAGTCGAGAGAGAGGAGCTCTGTCTCTTTAAGTGAAGTTATCGACCTTGAACATGGTTCACCATCTACCAATCAAGAGTCAGAGCAGGCTTTTCAGGAGGCGGGGAAGGCGAACTGACTTCGGATAATTGTTGTCCTTCCCTGCATAGTCAAAAAAGAAAAAGAGACTGGTCGCAGCACAGCAGGAGTAATCGAAACAAAATAAAATTAGAGGAATCTGCCAAAGACTGCCATCAAATAGGTGAATACTTTGAAGTGCTTAATGAAATGGAATTACTTTCAAAAGAAAATAGATAACTTGAGGACCAGCTTGTCAAGGCCATGGAGAAAAATAACATGCTACCAACTGATAATAATTTTGAAGTTAAAGGCCTTTTAAAAATTTTATTGGAATGTGCTAAACAGAATGCAGATAAGAAACCAGGTGGAAGAAGATACAGCACAACAATAAAGGAGCTTGGAACTCTGCTTTTTATCATTGGTGGTAGACAGTTATATGAACTTTTGTATTGTAATCTCTCTCTCCCCCAGTACTACTGTTAAAGCCCATTTGGATAATACTATCTTCATAAAAGAAGGGGAATTCCGCTTTCAAGCTCTCAAAAAATTTTTAAATCGAAGAAATTTGCCTTTAAAAATTTGGCTAAGTGAAGATGGGACTCATGTTACTGGGAGGATACAATATTGTTCTAAAACAAACCAAATTGTTGGTTTTGTCTTGCCCCTGGATAACAATGGCCTCCCTATCATTGACAGTTTTCCTGCCACTTCAGCAGAGGCAATTAAATCTTACTTTGATTCTAATGAAACAAGTCATGTTGTGTACTGTATAATAGACAAGCCTCTAGTTCACGAATCCCCTTCATTTTGTCTTGCCATGTTTGGTACAGATAATAGATTTACTAGTAATGATGTGGTGAAGAGATGGGCATGGATGAAGAGAGAAGCAAATAAATATGGCATTGAAATTAAAGGAATGTCATCAGATGGAGATGAAAAGTTGCTAAAAGCTATGTTGTACAAGTCAGTTACAAATACTAGCAAGGAGTGGCCCTTCTTCGAATGCCATCTTTCACAGGACATTGTCTTTATTCAGGACACAATCCATCTAGTTACCAAATTGAAGTCAAGATTAATCAAACCATCTATTATTCTCGACTTCCCTTTGGAAAATATTTGGCTTCCCGTGGATATCTTTTGGAGTTAATTAATACTGTCTCAGGGGACCAGCACAACTTGACAGCATGTTTGTTGAACCCCAAAGACAAAATGAACTTTTCTGCTGTTCAGAAGTTATGTGACAAGAAAGTAACAGATCTCTTGAGAAAATGTGTGGCTGGCAGTGAGGCAACTGCATGTTACCTTGATATGATCAGAGAAGTAATGTCAGCGTTCCTTCTGCCTGCACTTTCTCCTTCTGAAAGGATTTTTCTCCTGTGGAAATGGGTATTTTTTGCTCGTATTTGGAGAAACTGGATTGAAACTCATGATGATTACACTTTGAAAAATAATTTCCTAACTAGAGTTTCTTATTTATGTCTAGAGCTGAATGCCCATGGCCTTGTACAAATAATCAGAAACCTCAGGGACAGTGGTGACGAAGAATTGTTTTTACCTGAGAATTTTGATAGCCAACCATGTGAAAGCTCTTTCCGAGAACTTCGCTCTATGACCTCCACTCATTCAACAATTGTTAACGTCAGTGTTTTGGAGTTTCAACATAGAGTGCGAAGAATTGATTTTGTTACTGAGAGCAAAGTAAACCTCTCCGATATTGTTTTTCCAAGAAATGCCAGGGTTATTCAGAGCTCTTCTTTGCCTCCTACGCTGTGGCTTTTCTCCCTGGAGACACTGAAATAGAGAAAAATATAAGTGATGCATTTAAATCAGCTGTGGACATTTTAACCATATTTGGCATTTGTATAAGAAATGTAAATCTTCCAGTTGCCTCCTTACCAATTATTGCCTTACCTGATCTTGGTGTTGACGATGACAACTTATCTGAAAGTGAGACTGAATTTAATAGTGATGAGAGTAATTTGTCACCTTGTGAACCCGGAGTTTCTGATGAAATATTTGATAGCAATATGGAGGAGCAAAATGAAGACTTGCAACTTGTTGAGGAAGATTTAATAATGGTGTTAAGTGGAGCTCTTTGATTGAAAACTTTTCAAAATGTTAAGTTATCTCCCAACAGTTTGTATGTGTTGGTAAAGGATGGTGACGGTAACTGTTGTTCCATCACAAAGCAATCACTGCTGTTGTTGCTGAGCAATGGGGACACAAAACTGAGTAGTGACCGTCTCCTGAGAGTTCAGGTTCAAAGGGTTACCCATAAGCCTTTATGGTCATCTGAGCTAAGCCTCCCCACCATTGAAGACTTCGTGTCACTTGGACATTGGTGTGCCTTTTTGGCAGAAGATGGAACCAGTATTTGTGTGGGAAGAATTCTGGCCTTCAGTTATCTTTCTGGTTCCAAGCATTCTGATCAGCAGTACAGTGCACTTAGTGCTCCCACAAAACCACCAGAAAAGAATGCTCGTGGCCTGGGTTGTTTGTGCTCCTGGTTTACAATTACTAAGACAATGGTATTACAGACAGTGAGCATGGATGTTGATGGTTATTATAGTATTGCTAATTACAAGTGTACTCTTCCTCGTCCCAAACTTTCTGGAACCAAAATAACACTTCAATGTTCCTTGCCCCAAATTAAGAGAGCCAAAAAGTCATAAATATTATTTTAGTTTTGTAAAAGAAATATTTGTCAAGATACTAGTACAGATTTTCAAGATAAAAATCTGTAAACAGTTGTCTTTTTGTGATCTAGAATTTAGCTTCCACATGATTAGTCAAAATGTGTTTGTGAATTTAATTTCAATGTTTTTATTTTTACTATATGTATGATGTATAAGTATATTAAACAATGTCACTCTATATCTTTTAGAGGGCATTTATGTCAACTGACGGTAATGCTCTTCTCTACATATGAAGTGTTTGAGTACTACCATGTATTCAATTAGACTTGTTTTGTAAGATATTTTACCCTTGTAGAAACGTTTGCGTTACTATTTACAATTGCTTGTTGCCCAAAGACTTACAAAGGTTTATTTTTTTATTTGGTTGGTGCTTTTAAAATGTTAAAACAATAGGAGCTCATCTTAATAATAGACCATATTGCTGGTTCAAATCCTTTTATTTTACTCAAGTGTTGACTCATAAATGAAAAGATTGTTTGTATTGAAAGAACATATAAATGCTTTTAAGTGGCAGAAAATGTTACAAAAATAAAATAATTTCTCAGGACAAACAGACTTTGCTTCACACCCAAGCCCAAACACACAACAAAGACCACATGCTGCTTCAAATACAAGATACCTTACAACCACAAATTTAATGTTTCTTTTTCATGGATAGTAAATTAAATTAAATTCAGTACTTCAGAAGAAAGAATATCTTGCTTTGTTCAACGGAGAGTCAGTACATGTTCCCCTCAGCAACTGGAAATCTGATGTCCAGTGTCCAGGCCAAACACTGAAAAAATAAGAAGAAAGAAGGTGATATGACAGTTTTAAAATTCAGTCCAAACAAATACATAGTTTGTGTGATTAGCAATAAAACTGTAATGTTTACCTTTTTCTCCTCTTGTTTCCACACCAAAATAACATGGTTTGCTGTACATTGTACATTCCATATTTCTTCTATGCTGCCTTTCAAACCGTGATAATTTCTTGTTTTGTCAACGGAGAGTCGGTACATCATCTCCTCAGCAACTGGAAATCTAAAGTCCAGTATCCAGGCCAAACACTGAAAAAATCTGTTCATTCAGAAACTCCATAACTTGTTTGTGCACTATTTTCTCCAGTGCCTTCCCTAGGACACAAAGAATGCTCACTGGTCTGTAATCTTTACTCTCTTTGGGCACTTTTACCTTTGGAACAGGGATTATATTAGCTAACTTCCACATGTTTGGAAAAATACCATTTTGAAGACTGTAGTTGAACAGATGATCAAGCACTGGTAACAAGGCAGGTAGACACATTTTGATAAAGTTTACAGGTATGAGGTCAATGCCCATTGCTTTCGATTTAATAGAATTTATAGCACTAACTATGTCCTCAGGCAGAACATATTTAAAATGAAACTTCTCAGCACTATCAGAGGTGAGCCTGTCTCTATTTGTATAGTCTTCAGTACAACCTGATACTACCACAGCATCATTTACAGAGGCAACCGAAGAATAATGAGAGTTTGAATCATTTACTGGTATTACAGGTTCTGTTCTCATTGATTTACCTTTGCCCAGTTGAAGGGTCCTGACATGAGCCCATATTTTTCTAGAGTCTCCATTATTGAACTTACATAATAGTACCTCACCTTGGCACTTCTGATACTTTGCTTGACATTGTTTCTGATGTTCTTGAAATTTTCAAAGTCAGTCTGGTTTTTGGCTCTATGCCATTTCTTTCTTAGTTTGTCCCTTTTCTTTATAAGTGCTTTAATAGCTTGAGTCATCCAAGGAGCAGACTGTTGATTATAACTCTTGGTGATATATGGGGCATGCTTATCCATTAGGTCTGTGATGATATTGTTAAAACAATCTAATTTGCAATCCATATTGTTCTGGTTATACATCTCGTGCCATGGTGCACTACACATATCTTGTAACAAGTCACAGACAACAATATTAGAGAAGTTTATATAGCTAATTGCTTGTTTTTTAGAGCGAGGAATGGTTAGATCATAAATGGCATATATTAGATCATGACAAGAGAAGCCAGGTGCAGGAGTTTGTCCATATGACAATAGATGGTCAGGACAATTTGAGGCAATTATATCTAAGTTAGAATCACAATAGGCAGTATGAAAAGTTGATTGAAATGGAACACAGTCTAGATCACACAATCTAATAACCTCAGTTATCATTTTAGTGTCATCGCCACCACGGCCAAACCCAGCATTAATATCACCACAGACAAAAGTGTATTTGTAATCTGTGACATACTTGTAGAAAACATCCATAAAAAGATCCATATGCCCTGCTTTTGGCCTTCTGTAGATCCCAGCAAACAGCACTTTAACTGAGCCAATCAATATGTCAAGAAAAATGAATTCAGGCTTGTCAAATTCACCATTTGAGACTTCTAATATTTTTGCTTTATATTCACTTTTAATGAATACAGCCACTCCTCCACCATTTCTGTCTTTACTGCTCACATTGTACATGTTGTATCCAGGCAAAATAAAATGACTTTTGTTTTTAAACCAGGTTTCAGAGACTGTAATTATATCAAGGCCACTGTTGGAAAAAATTTCTAGAAATTCTGTCTGGTGTGCCACATCACATAGAGATTGAGCATTAAGATGTGCTATTTTTAACTTAGTTGCATAATTTGATGTTATGTTGTGTACATATTCACTATTTAAACTATCACTCATGAAGTGTGCAAGTTTTGATGAAGTGAAGGAAGTTTAATATTTAATATATAGTAGGAAGTAAGTCAATGCAATCAGTTGACAAAGGCATAAACTTAGAAAATAATAACAGTACATAAATGAATATACAGCCATACAAAATAAGTAATTATAAATAACATTGCAAAACAAACAAAAAATAAATAAATATTACAGCAGGAGAAAAACAAGTACCATCAGACAAGTTCTATTTAGGTAGGGGGTGAGTGTTTCACAATGAGGCGGTCTAGATCACTAAAACTTTTCAAGCGACACTTTTCTGTTCCTGCTTTAACCATGATGACACCATCATTGGACGAGACATTCTCTTGATAGTAGGCTTCCACTGCCCGTTTCAGTAGCTCTAACCTCTGAGCGGTCAAGTCCTCTCGAATTGTTATGCCAGTACATTTTAGACCTTTTTTGGCAGTGAACATAGCCCTGCGCGGCGCATAACCAATAAACTTGATTATTATCGGTCTAGGCTTCTTGCTTTTCCTCTTGCCAATTCTATGAGAGCGATCGATCTGAGACTGTTCGATGCTGACACCAATTTGCGCGGCCACTTTAACAACTAGTTCGTCTGTGTTTTCATCTCTGGATGTAAAATATGAGTACGACACACTAGTGGAGCAAACAAAAGACTAATTGAAAGGTGCGGGAGGCAATATTTGAGTGTTATCATTGATTGAACGTGACCACAATATGGTCTTTTAACGTTGTACTAGGTGTACGTGATTTGAACTATCGCAACTTTACACGTATCTCATTTGAAGGTAAATAAAACCATCGCGTTTCAAAAACCTAGCAAATTCGACAAGAAAAAATAAAATTTTTAGGAACTCCCAAATGGCCCGTATTCTGAGAATCATCCTAAAGACCCTCATATACCTTGCTTGTCGTCACCACATATTGGAGTTGATACCCAAAGCTCTGTTCGACAAGTTGGTTGAGAAAGCATCTAGTCCGGATTTCGGCGCTTTGTGTAAATCTCTGCAGGATAAGTGGGAGGGTATAGGGTGTTCCAGGCTATCTTTACCGGAAGTGAAAAAGAAGAAACTCACTACTTTATCTGTATCCGGTGTTGCCGTCAGTATGAAAAATTGAGGTGAAGTTGTGCTTCGCAACACGGAGGTTGACGGAGGTGTTATTCGCAGTCAGTTTTCCGTCAGTAAAAACAAACAGTCTTGTCTGCTATCGTAGTCACTCTACAAATGATTACAAAAGAAACTAACAATAACAATGAACAGGCCGGTAAGTGTGTGCGTCAAAAGATAATATCGTCCAGCTTTGATCGCGAATATTACGCGAGAGGGAAGAACCGTGTACATGAGCCTCCAGACAACAGTTTTGTTGACATCATAACCTCTGTCCTGCTTGGTTTCTTTTACTTAATTGTGACATTTTGTAATCTAGTTCCACCCGCCATCTCTGGTCGGGCATTTAATTATGGTTTGCACTACCCATAAAGTGACAGTTTTAGTCATGACATTTCTTGGGACACACAATTTGAAGTGCCCAAAATCTTGGGTGTGGGGTCTATGTTGTTGCCTCAAACACATTTAAGAATTTTAAAATGTGTATTGTCAACATGCTGAAAGACCATTTTAAAGTAAAGAGCGTAGCTCTGAATTTTGAAAGGTATTTTAAGATCTTGCCATTCATTTTAAAATTCTAAAGACCAGTTGGTTTGTACAGAAGAAACGTGATATTGAGCAGGTTCGAGTTGGGGTTGGGGTTGGGGCATCAAGTAGCCCACCAAAAAAGGTAAGAGTGAGCAGTGAATCGCATTTATTGTAAACAAGGCAAAACCAGACTCAAATTTATTTGTTCTTTTTCAGATCCACAGGCAAGTGTCTCTTTTGAAAGTAAATCGGCCAGACTTGTTACTGAGTTGTGCTGAGAAACTCCAACCAATTCGACTAGAACCCAGTAACGAGCCCTTAAAGATCAAATTGAGGAGGTCTTTGAAGAAGCGCCCCACTGGGTCCGAGTTTAGTACTTACTCTATCAAGGTAATACACCTGAACCCTATGTTTTCCCCCTCATTCCTCTCGGGGTTGTTTCTAAGTTTGAATTTGTTCGCTTTTACAGAAAAACGAATATGTTCACATCCCAGAACCCAGTGGCCCGCCTCTAAAGATAAAATTAAGGAGGTCTCTGCAGCAGAAGCGACCCACTGGGTCTGAGTTTAGTGCATACTCTATCAAGGTAATTCTTGGTCATATCTGAACTCCTTGTTTCCCCTCATTCCTCCTGGGCTTGTTTCTCAGTTTGAATTTCTTGGTTTTTACAGAAAAATGAAGTTGAGGATAACGTCCCAGAACCCAGTGGCCCGCCCCTAAAGTTAAAATTGAGGAGGTTTATGCAGAAGCGCCCCACTGGGTCTGAGTGTAGTGCTTACTCTATCAAGGTAATGTTTATGTCCATTATTAACTGTTGTATTTTTATTTCTGTCTTATATTTTCTCCCTTGCCCCTTCTTTTTCTGTCTCTTAGTTAAAGTTTTTTGTTGTTGCTTTTTTTTTTTTAATCTTTTTCCAGAGAAATAAAAGTGATGGCTGTGAAATTTTGGATCCAGATTCAGAGGTGAGTGACTTTTTAAAATAAAAGAAGTTTTTTTTTTTTGTTTGTTTGTTTTTTTTTCCTTTAAGTTGACTTGCAACTTGAAGCTTTTATTGGTTGCTTATGTGTTTATGTCTGTTGCAGACTGATTCACCCCGGCACACTCACTGTGGCCTGATAAACATAAAAATGACTTGCTTTTTAAATGCAACTCTCCAAGTAAGCTAAAGCTGTCATCATTCATGCATTTTTGCATTGAACATTGAAAGAAGGGCGATTTGTCTAATTATGTTTTCATCATCTGAACTAAAATTTCCAATTTGATTTTCTTTTGACTATTCCTATAGGCTTTGTTTCATGTGCCTGCTTTTTCTGAGTTTGTTCTTAGTGAGGAACATGAAAAGAAATGTCTGCATTCAAGCTGTCTCAGGTGTGCTTTGAGAGTTACATTAACTAGTATGGTCAGCAGCACTGAATCAGCAATTAGCCCCTCTCTAGTATTGGCAATTCTGCCAGGTATGTTTATCATAACTATTAAAGTTAGACTCTCATACAAGTAACTGCTTGTTGGTTTCAAAATTTTATCAATTGTTAGTACTTATCTTGTTCTATCTTTGTTTAAGATTTTTGGGAAGAATTTATTCTTGGAGAGCAACAAGACGCTCACGAGCTGCTCATCAAATTCCTATGTGTTCTAGGAAAGCAGGTTTCCTCCACTGAAGAGCTTAGCTCCATCTTTGGGGGAGTTCTAGACAGAAGAGGTAAGCAAAGACATATAGGTTGATTTTATTTTTTACCCTCATCCCCCATGGTTGTTATGCATACATGTGAGCAAACAAGGGTTAACATTTACAATATTCCTGTTATGTCAATTTTAAAGATAGGTGTTCAGACTGTGACAAAATAAGAGAGAGCATCTCACCCCTCCAGTTTCTTTTTGTTAATCTTCATGATACCATGACTTCTGTGGCCCAAGCCATTAATCAGCAGCTACAGCTGGAAGAGGAGATCTTAGCCCTATGTAGTTTCTGTCAGAGACATACCACATTAGTAAGAAAAGAAACGATCAAAGACTATCCAAAGTCCCTGATTGTAGTGTTAGCAAGGTAGTGTGATTTCAGTTCAGACTCCCTCTGTTACATGTTCATACTTAACTGTGCTAATATTCTATTTTGAATTGTTTCTCGCTTTTGAACATGCATTCTATATTTTGCTAGATTTAATTTTGAGAACGGGGAAGGTGTCAAACTATCTTCAAATCTGAAAGTAGATTGCTCACTTAGAGTGGGAAAAGCTGCATACAAATTCCAGAGTGCAGTTTCTCATATTGGTCCAACAATTAGATCTGGCCATTACGTTGCTGTGGCACAGTGCCCAGACGGATCCTTTACCAGCTTTGATGACACTGAAGTGAATCATTTTAATTATTTTCCTTTGCTAGATATCTATGCCAATAAGTTTAATTTCCTGTTATTGATTTTTGTTTCTTTTCTTTTGTGCAGGTGTTTTCCAATGCATCTCTAGATGAATTATTGCACTTAAGAAAAGGCTTATACATAGCTATCTATGAATTGGAAGGCTTCACAACGGTAATGTTTGGTTTGCCAATATAGTTAGACATCACATTTTCCTTTTGAATTTTTTTTCCAATTTCTCCCGTTCTTCTTCTTTTTTATTCCCTCTCCCCTAGGAAACAAATATCCCTGACTTATTGTGTGGTGATGGAGCAGCGATACCTCACAATAACAGCCCACCACTTCCAGACATTCTGTCAGATCTCGATACAATGCCTTCAGCAGCTATACCTGTTAAACCACCTGTAAGACCCTATATTGTTTGAACTTAATACTACTTCAAACTATTAAACAGATGATAGAAGTATACTTATCATCTTTGTCTGATTCTGGTTAATTTAGGAAAAGCCGAACAGCAGCTTTTACACTTTTCAAT